CAATCCGGGTCCTCATTTTACCCACCTCGGAAGGATGGAAGGCTGAGTCAACCCTGAGCCGGTGAGATTTGAACAGGCGAACTGCTGAACTGCAGTCAGCTGAAGTAGCCTGCAGTGCTGCATTTAACCACTGCGCCACCTCGGCTCAGTGTTTGTCTTGTAGCTGGCCCGGGTGCTAGATCGGCCCCCTGAGAACTCTGTCTTTTGAGGAGCCCGACCTGTTGAGGACTCGGAAAGTCCTCGACTTACGACCTGGCGGCTAGCAACAAGCCAGGTGGCGCCCTGATTGGCTGGGGCGCAGCGTCGCTTGTTGATAGCCGCTAGGGGTGCGCTCATTGGCTATCCCTGCTTGACAGCTCCGTTTAAATAGCTGTCAAGCAGGGAGGGTGCTGAATCGCCTGTAAATAGTTAGCTTTGAATAAACCTCTTGTCTGATAGTCCTGGCTCCCGTCTCGTCCTTCCGTCGATCTTTAAAATGACCGAACTTTGGAGAAGCACCTGGAGTCCCAGGAAGGGAGGGAGGGAAGGGCTGGAGCTACTAAACAGGCAGCCAAGCTGTGCCTGAAGGACCCCATCCCATCAGCGAGTGGGAGTAATGGCTTCGGTCACCATATCCAGACCAGGGGCCCATAGTTTGAGGATCCCTGATTTAGTGCAATATAAAAAATGCAAAGATTTTTCTGCAGATCATCAAAATTTTCCCATGGACCACCGGTTGGTGACCACTGGTCTAACCAGTCTGATCTTGCTTAGCTTCCAAATCCAGACAAAATCACCCAGGTCCAATGTTTAGAGCTTCTTGTGAACAGCAGGCCCATCTCTTGTTTAAGACCTGCTGTTCCATTGGAAACTGGAGCATACGCTGAGTAATTCAGATGCTTCCCACTGAGCCTGGTAACTGGACCCCTATGCCTGCAATAAGAATCCTCTTAATTAAATTATGAAGTTCTCCTATGTGTTGGGTGTCTTGATATCAAAAGGTAAAAGGCCAAGTAGAATAACAGATCGCCAATGAAACATTGTTGAGCAGTCAGACAAGCCAACCTGAACCCATTGGTAGCCTCACATGGCAATTAGGACATGCATTCAGTTTCGCAGCTACTGAGATTGTTGGCCAAGCAGGTACAAAGATAGACAGGGAAATGACTGAAGCTGGAGAAATGGGCCCCTTGTCAGTCAACAGGAGTGACAGTTGACCACCAGCTCATCAGGTACTTAGGAGCCAAAGGCTTGGCAGGACAAGGAAACAACAACCAATCACTGACTATCAACACACCAATCAACCATAGGGAGGCACCACATAAATACAATTCATAGAATAACCCAAATATTCCGGTGGAGAGAAATTCCCTGAGGATGGGAACAAATCCTAAAGCTCAGAAGAGTAAACCTCTGGTCCTGGTGACCCACCCAGATTGGATCTCGAAAGGTTTTTGGACTACATTCAGTACTGATTTATAACATGGCTCAGTGGCAAAGACCCTGAGCTTGTCGATCAGAAAGGTCAGCAGTTCAGCAGTTCGAAGC